GTTTAAAGTGCCCCTGCCACAATTTTTAAGCGCAGGACGCTGATAAACAAGACTCTGGAGTCTGCTGGAGCGCAGTAATTACCGTGCTCTAGCAGACTTAATTAATCGAGTCTGCTCCAATGTGCTGCAATTATACCACATTGGAGAATCCTCGCTGCTCTTGTATAGGGGCCCTCTATGTTTGGTTGGGGAGGCATATGACTTAAGGGAGAGCATCCAGGCAGCTCAGCAATGACTATGAGTTTGTGAGAGGAGATCAAAGAGCACAAATTGGAACTCAGCTTTACAAAGTCAGCCTAAATATCTGGCAGTCTTAGGATACTGGAGCCATACACAATTACCAGAAAAACAAAACCTCATCAAAGCTGAAATTAGAGCTAACAGTTAGTGACTTCTGGGAGGCACACCCAGACTTTTTTAGCCTTGAATCTTTTGTGGCTTGTTCAGCTGACTTCCCTTGTAGTTTTTCCAGTTATTCTGTGGTTGAATCCCCATACCCACAGGCATTCTTTGCTGGCATATCTCGTACAGTTTGGCTGGGAAGATGATTGCAGCTTCAGTTTCCACATCCATGAATAATTTTTATAGAAGCAGCAGCATGATACTGGCCTGGGTGCCAGAGCGAGGTCTGGAAGAAAAAGGACCTTTTAGATGTCTTTATAAAAGATGTTGCTTATTCCTGGCACTGGATAGAATGTGGTTATTCTTCCTCCCACTAAAGATTCTCTGACCTGTCCATACACTTCCCCTCTCTTGGGGAAAGGCTAGTCTAATACAGAGAGATCAATCTAGATTTCTAACTACTATTCTCAGAAGTCAAATCTGGTCTCTCTTACCCCAGTTCACAGCTTTTATGCATTGCTTCCTGGGCTTTGATACTGGCAGCAAGGTTTGTAGTCATGGAACCATTGAGTTTCTCTGTTAAAGTAAATCAAGGGTATTAAACTTGTCTGGCCCCATGGGACAGATGAGTGACATGGGCCTAATCCATGGGCCAGATTGGATCAGCAGGCTCACAGACTTCAGATCCCTGCTAGACCTCCCATGCAGCCACAGCTCCCACTCCTGCCACTCTGGGATCCTTGCTGCATACAGCATGCATTCTGGAGTGAGCGGGGCAGGTGCTGCAGGCCACACTGTCCATCCAGGACCAGTACCACATGTAGTGTGGATTCCAGACTGGCTACTCTGGGATCCATGCAGTGCCCTCAGCAGCTAGTCCAGGACAGCACTGTATGCAGTATCTGCTCCACCCAGTCTGGGACCCACATTGCACATGGTGCGTGTGAGTGCCACATGCAGCATAAGTCTCAGACCAGCTGGAGCAGACACTGTGTGCAGTGCATGCCTGGGGCAGGCAACATGCATGCAGTTCCTAGAGTGGTTGAAATGGGTGTTGCTTGTGATGTACACCCTGGGCTAGTCTGGGTCAATTCAGACCCAGGGGTAGCACCAGGGGCTGGATAAGAGGACTCTGTGGGCCATATCTGGCCTGTAGACCATACGTTTGAGAAATAAATTAATGGTTTGGGTCCTAAGTGCTGCTAGATCTTTTTTTCTAGCAGTTTCCTTTGTTGCAGCATTGTTGCATCTGTTACCTAAGACTGGTTGGTCATGGTCTGCACATAATGTGATTTTCTATTTGTTGGACAATATCTGTAAAACTTAAATCTTCAGTACCTAGGTTGCAGCCTTGGTGAAAGGCTCATAGTGGTGTTATAGTGGCGCTGGACTCCTTAGTTAACCCTGATAGTTCTGCTGCGCAGTAGGAGTAAGTGCCAGCCCCTCAGGCATCACTGTTTATTGACTCCACAAAACACTATTATCCTGGCATGTGTGTTATGATAGATGTGCATGTCTCACCTTGGTGCATACATGTTATATCATTCCTCCCTGGGGAAGAAGTACAATTATAAATTATGCCATCACTCTACACACTTTATTAGCATCTCTTAATCATCCCTTTAGAAGATGATTCTGATTTTAAAGAAGGCCTAGCCAAATGCAAGCCCTGGTTGTCTGCATCCTAGCCTGTGGCAAGAATAAATTGCAAACATCAGGTTATATAGATTCCATGCTGGAAGTGGTTCTGTTTGGGTTATCTTTCTATATCAGAGATGAGGCAGATGCACTTTGTTCAGTTTTCTTCAAAAGCAAGCACTGAGCTCAGACTCCTGCAGCATTGTCAGCGCAGCCCTCAGGCGAAATGTGGGCATCCCACTTAAAACAAAATTTGTTGTCTAATCAAGTTAAAAAAAAGACCTTGACTACTGAATTGGAGTTTGTTATGCCATAAATTGGTGGAGCATGGAGTTATACTTCTCGTAGTTGTTTAGATTGCTTATATCTCTGGCACTTGCTGAGACTGTTAGAGAGAAAAGTATAAAGGGCTGTTGTGCCTTAGCAAAGAGCCTAGATGCCTTGGAGAATGAGATTTCCAGGAAAGAAATCTCTGAAATGCTTTATCTGTGTATGCTGCTGTCACAGGAGAATGGGAAGCTACACAGTAGAGCATGCCAACATCTGGGAATGCAGTGCTATAGGTGTCCATGCTTTTTTGTGCACATGCATTATGAGAATCCTTATTTACTGCATTACCTACTATTTATCTGAGAGGCTGTTTACACATGAGAGAGTTTAGGGTTTTTTTGAGTGAGGGAGAGGGAACAGAATGAAAGAAAGAGAGAGAGATTTATTCTGCAGTACTCTTGAGGCCCTGCTGGCTCTGTCTCTAGCACATGCCTGTTCTGGAGTCTGGAACCACAGGGTCTCATGCCACCAAGTTGTTTTGTCCCATAATCCTGAGCAGGGAGCTTTTGGAAGACTGAGGTGAATCAGTGATCCAGATCACTTTGCGTACTGTAAAGAGCCACCCCCCCACACACACACACACAGTCAGCCAGTGTGCACTGCCATGTGTATGGAGGCCAAGGCAGAGGCTTTGCAAGGTCCTTCTGCCCTTATCCAACAACAAAAGGTGAAAAATGTGGGGGAGATTTGCACTCAGAGAGAGAGAGACCAGTGCAGCACAGCTCCAGGCTTCACTGATGAACACTTATTCTAGCCAGAGACTTGAAGAGCACAGACGTAGTTCACTTCCAGTCATCCTTACACAGTCCTTGGGTACAAGAACACTTGGTCAACTAGGCTAGCCTGGGGGGGATGCTGGGCTCTCAAAGGGGCTGTTAATATTGAGATTGGCTTTGTATGGAAGACTATGGGCTCTGGGCACAGATTTCCCCATTAAACTGCTGGGAGCCTGATCCCATTTAAAACTTAGGGAACCAGGTGTGTACAATTGCCCATGCAAAACCAATTTCAGTGTTAGTGACTCCCCCATCAGTCAAGCTTTACCATAGCTCCACACCTGATGAAAAGCACAGAAACTTATTGACCCTCTTGCTCTGTAGCGGCTCTGAAGCCAGGTAGCAAGTCAAACCCAGAACATACTGACATGCTCCATTTCTCCAAGGCCACTTCCTCACTGCATTTCAGTTTACAGCCCCAGCCATTTTGCTGGTGGAATTGGTCCCAAAAGCTCCATGCATTTTTTGTGAGTGGGGATGGGTGAGTGCTTTATTCTTGCTCAAAAAATACCTGAAGCATTTTTATTTAAAAACAATTTGTCATCCAACAGAGAGCATGTATGTCAACCTGAAAGGTTAAAAGTGACTGAAAACAAGGGTTACAAATTTTATCTTCCAAACCACCTTTACTCTAATATGACAGCAGTCTCCATGCATCACTCTGGTACCTTGTTCTCCTGGAGAGTCACCAGGGTTGTCGTGGCTTGTTTGCTCTAGCTTTGCTGGTTGTGCTTAGCTCTGTATTGGGCTAGTCAGGGTTGATTCACACAGAGAACTTAAGACTGTAGCTCTTTGCAGCATGTGTCATGCAGCCTATGTGGTGTATTTGCTACAGGTGCAATCCCCTGATCAATCTGAACTATGCTGTTCTGCTGTATAATCAGGGGGATAAGAAGGGAGCACTCTGCCAGTACCAGGAAATGGAGAAGAAGGTCAATGTACTGAAGGAGACCAGCACTCTGGACTTTGACCCTGAGGTAGGTTGGTAAGAAGCAGCAGATGTGAGCAAGTAGCTGTGTAGTTATGAGTAGCACTAAAAGAGCAGGAGGTTCAGCTTTTGAGGCCAAAGTCCACTTATTAGAAAAAGAACACTGTGAGCTAGACATGTATAACTAGACCAGCTGTGCCATGAAAGCTGCCTGCTTCATCTCAGTGCTAATAAATCAGGCTTTTCAATCAATAAGAAACAAGGCAGGATTCCTTCTCAATTAAGTGAACAGATTAGCAGAGAGGTGCTTCCGTGTGTTCTAGCCAGTTTCATACAATTTGGTCCTTTAAGCTACTGGTAATGAGTGAAAGGCAATGCCTGCATACAGCCTAGGAGACTGCTCATCTGAAACTCTCAGCCATCTCCATAGGGGTGAGTCTACAGCTGTATTGTACAGTCACTTTTTAACAAAAGGTGGCCTGGGTGATATAAATATAATGGGTGGAGGCAGAAGCTTGTCTCCTGTGCATAAGTGCTTATAGCAAGACTTGCCTTAGCCAACTGGGAAATGCACTTGTTTCAGCTAATTCCTTTAGCTCTTTCCTACCACCCGTGCTGAAAAGGTCAGTCCTGTAGGGCAAGGATGCTCAACCCTCAGCCTGTGAACCAGATCTGGTCCCCAGAGCTGTGTCATCCAGTGATGGAGCTCCCCACAGGTCTGAAACTTTGACAGCAGGGGAGTGGTGCCACCACTCCCTCGCTGCCGAATTTCTGGGTCCATGGGGAGCCCTGCAGGCTGGATAGCATGGCCCTACCCACTACAGGATGGTGCAGGGGAAGAGTGGGGTGCCAGGGCCCAATCCTGGGGTGCAGGGGCCCAATCTTGATGTGCATGGGTGGCCCAGGGACCCTGAGCCCAATCTTGGTGTATGGCGGCCTGCTCCCAGTGTGCCAGGCAGAGGCAGTGCAGGGCCCAAAACTAGCACATGGGGCTGATCCAACCCATGGACCAGCCTCACAGCACTCATTCAACCCATGGGGCCAAAACATTGAACACCACTGCTTGTAGGGTGATGCTATTCTCTTATTGCTTTGCCAAAACTCACAAATGGAAGCTGAAGCTCAGTGATTTGGGCTGGGCCAGGCACTGCTGTTCTGTATGCCTTACTGCATTCCTGGTAGCAATTCTCTTTTGCTCTCTATTGCATGAGAAGATGGTGGACATGGCCCAGAAGATGGGAGCTGCTCTGCAGGTGGGGGAGAGTCTGGTCTGGGCTAAACCTATTAAAGATTCCAAAGCAAAGCAGCGAGCTGCATCTGGCAAACCCTCCAGCACTCAGCAGCCTTTGGGCTCTAACCAAGCCCTGGGCCAAGCTATGTCTTCAGCAGCTGGGTATGGGAAGACTATTCAGCTTTCTTCAGGTAATTCCCTCTATGGGGTAGGTAAATAGGAGAGGAGGGAGTGTTAGAAGGTACAGCAACTGGGCAGGCATGTCCCTTTCTTTGTATACTGGTGCATGGCACATGTTAACAAGGCCCTTAGATGATGGTACAGCATAGATCTAAGAATTTAGCATCAGCCAAGCCTTACTTTGTGAGGTAAAAGCACCTGGAACAAAAGGGCTTTGACTCTGGTGTTGGGGCTGCATTGCACCATAGGGCTCTTGCACAGTTCCTGAAATCTGGCCCTGTGTTTCTTAATGTCCCTGACACTTCTGAACCATTAATTCTTCCCCCCATGCTCTGGGAAGGAGCTGGTTCCAGGAACCAGGCCTCTTGTCTTCATTTGTCAGATGACAGAGAGCTGACGGAAAAAGAGCGAGGGGCAGGCTGCTGGGAGAAGGGAGATGTCTGATGATGTCCAGATCACACTGGCAGCACTCAAAGCCCTCCTTTGTAATGGAACCTGGCTTTCCTTTTCTGAGCTCCATCCTGCTCAGGGCAGTTCAAGAGAGAGACATCCTCAGCAACGAAGGAGCAACTGCAATATATGAGGAAGGTGGGGGGCTACCTTCTGACCCAGAGCTTGCGGGACTGAACTTCTTCTTCCCTATCCCATTCACTCTTTGGTTTCGAGAAGAATGTTAGAAAGCACTGCTTGTGGGGATGCTTTTGCTCAGGTAAATCTAGTTGCAAGGGGCTGAAGCAGGCAAGAGGTTCTGTAGCCCAGGCTCCACTTCCTGCAGAAGTTGTTGTCAGGAAAATTTAGAACAAAATATAAAGAGAATGAATTGGGTTTTGCCTACCAAAATGTGCATCAGGGATTTTTTTTTCTTGCCTCTGCAGCCTTCAGCCCCATGCCAGAACACGGAGCAGAGCTCCTTTGCAACTTCAGTCAACATTCAGTTCAAGTCTGCACGTAAATAGCTACTTGAGAATATAACTAGGTCATTTTGATTACTTTATGTAGTTTTAGTTCTTTCATATCTGCTTTCCCCACAGACTTTTGTTGCAAAAACAGTGAGCTGTCTTTATTCCCACTTGAGTATAATCCAGCCCTACTTGAGACTCTGAGGGGGGAAATAATATGAACTGTTTTAGGCTACTATTGGCTTTGCAGATTGGATTGGTCCCTACATTTCATTTCCATTTCTGTAAAACAGAAATAAAGACCTCTAGGGGCTTCGAGACCAGTGGCTGGTGAACCTGTAAGAATGTAGTAGAATTGGCAAGCTAATTGCAATTACAGACATGAGCAATCTGCAAGTGATTCATTTTCAGTCGCGCTTCTGTGTTTTTTCTCAGCACAGTGAATTCTTGCAGAAGAGAATAGACAGGACACCAATGATGTAAGGAGTGAAAGAACATTGCAAAGACCATTTATGGTATCCCCAACTGCCCCTCTCTCTCCTCATGGCTGTCTTTATGAAAGTAGAGCATTATTTGCTTTACTTAACCAATATCCCTTCCATTCAGCATTGTTACAAACTGCTAAAGGCTCCTGCCTGCATGTGCCAACACTAGTTGGTGAAAGGAGAAGCTGAGGCCTGGAGGGGTTACGTCATGTCTACGTCATGATACAGGCACAGCACAGCCTTGACTCCTCTGCTAGTACTGTTTCTTCTGGCCTAAAGAGGAAGGATTGGAATAACCTTTCTCTCTTCTGTACTCAGGTGTTGGAATATCAGCTCCGCTGGCCAAGCCCCCTTCACTGCCTCTGGAACCTGAACCAGGCTCAGAAACGGGCCCTGAAGAGACTACAGAGCCCCAAGAGCGAAGAAAAGAGAAGTGTAAGAGCAGACTGGCTGCAGAATAGAACATCAGCAGTGAACAGACTACTGCTGGCCCTTTGGGAGCAGACTCAGCACAACAATTTGCTGACTGAAGTGGTGGGGAAGGGCAGCTGCTTCTAGCATAGTCTGCAGTGCATTCACCCCACTGAGAGCTTAGGCAAAATGCAGCTGTATGCTGGTAGTGATGTTAGCTTCTGCCCTGTGAGTGGGTATTTGCTCAACAGCACCCAGAGGAGGTTTCTAAGTAGTTACCACTATTGCTGTTGTACTGCATCATGAAGGAATAGACAGAAAGGTCCCTTCTTTCCTTCGGGGACCAGCTGCTTGGTTATTTTACACACAAGTCAGGCGTAAGCCACCCAGAGGGGTGCTGAAGTGCTGAGATTGCCTCTCATCATGTTGCACTGTCAACTACAGTGATCCTGCAGCTTTTAAAGCAGCAGATTGAAGCAGTTATCTCATTAGGACACAGTGAGGATCAGTCCCCTCTAGGAACTGAGCCTGGAGCCTCGTCAACAGCCGAGGAAGCTCTGCCACCTCCCTGTAGCAAGGTCAGTGGTAGAAATGGGGGATGGGGAGGATGATGAAGTGCAGAAAGCAAGTGGCAGCCAGGTCAGTCTGTGGGCTGCCAGCCTAGAACAAAGCTTTTGTGCCTGATGGAGGGCCTCAGCCAAGTCCTCTGTTCAGTAGAGATGAGGCTATAGGCTCCTGAGCACTGGTGCAGTCGAGTTGTTCACAGTCAGTGCACAAGTTTAATTAAGTCACACCTCTCTTCCACCTTTTGTGAAAAACCATTTGCAATACCCTTCCCTTGGGCAGCTAGCTGAAAGGAACCTGCAGCCTGTGCTCAGTGCTGAGCCCCTAGTCAGGCTGAAACCATCATACAGTGATGCCTGTCCTGCAAGGTGGGAGGGGATAGAGACACCTTCTCTCTATGTGACTCTTTGGCAAGGAGCAAGGGAAAGGAGAATAGGCTTGTTAAAGTTTACCTTGGTTCAGTACTCATAAGCCTTGTTAAAGTTTACCTTGGTTCAGTTTCATACCACGTGCCCCAGTGTTAGAGCTTGCAGTGTCCTCTGAAAAGCCCCAGTTATACTTCCTCTTTTTGCTGGAAGTTTTAAAATAGGTTGGGCAACTGTCAGCTCCTCTGTAAGTTACTGTGTGCTTCATTCACGGCTAGTAAAAGGCTGCAGGTGAGCAGGAGCTGGTCTGTTTAATCACAGTAACTGATAACTTTATGAGTTAAGTTGCTGCTGAACTCAGTCACCTCACTGGTATAAATGACATGTAAATAGTCCCAGGCAGGCTGACAGCTGCACCACTGAGATTTGTAATAATTCACCTTACAGCAAAAAACAAAACAGCTCTACTGTCAGTGGAAAACCTAGGCTTGGAGAAGAGACGGGCCCGTGGAGCCAAGTAGAAACAGAAATTGCGTTGTCTTTTATTTTGCTGCTTCTAGCTACTCAAGTTCTAGAGGGAAGTTTTTCTCTCCAGAGGCAGCAAGTCCATTTTTCAGTAAGTTTACTGGTAGCAGAATTAGCCAGTTAGGGTTACTTATCTTCTGATCCTATGCATATTCTCAACCATCCCCTTCCTATAGAGCTGAACCATGTAAAGTCTAACCTCATGTCTAACACTGCTAAAGCAAGAGGAGGTGTACAGCCACAGTCTCTAAGTACCTGTTCAGCGTCCTCACAGAAAAGCATTTGAAGGCCAACCTATTTCACATGTTATCTCGGCCCAAGAGGGGAGCATTGCAAAGCCTTTTATAAAACTTCATTCAACCCCTTCAGCTGGAAAAGTAACTTTTTGGTGATTACTTCAAAAACAACTGCTGACTTAACCTTCTTGATATGATGGGAAGGGACAGGTAGTGGAAGATGACTTAAATGCCTCTCAAATACAGCCCCCTTCATGATGGTCACTATTATGTGAGGAAAATTACATTAGTATCCTGAAGTATGGTGGGTGCTTAAACAACCTTGCCTGTGGTAAACTGTTTTGCAGAGGTGTGACATAAGATCCTGTGCACATTTCTTCCTCAGGAAAGGACACAGCAGGGCCCAGACTCTATCTCCTTGCTGTCTGAGGGTTATGCCAGTTAGTTCGCTTATGGTTTTCTGTTAAGACAACTGTCACATGTTGAGTGATCTGGCCCTTCAGGAGAAACTGCCCTTGCAGCTGCAGCCAGGCTACCTACTCCACATCTAAATGTAGCAAGGAACATTAATGCCCACTTGAAGTCCTGGGAGTTTTTCAAAGGCTCTTTTAGCTTAAACTGAGACTAAGTTAAAGAAAATGAGATTTTACACTCCCATCCATTTCACTACTAAAGACATGTCTCCCTGGCCTGTTCTTGGTGCCACAGTTCCTCCAAAATAACCATTTCCTGACTACAAATTAAAGTAGAACTACTGCTGCATAAAACCTCAGAAGCAGAATTGCTCTTCAAGCCCTTGTCTTTCACTCCCACAGGGCACATTGCTGCTAATTATGTTTTAAGTGATTATTTAATGTCTAAAGCATGTAAATGCAACAGGTGCAAGGCATCTTCAATAATGTTGTCACAGGAACTATGGGACAAGCTTCACAGGTGTTAAGAGTATTCACAGATCTTAATGACAGTTTGGAGCAGCAGGTGCCCACCACCTCCAGAAGTCAAGTTGTCGATCTTGTTCACCTTCTGAGTCAAAAGGTGCAAAGCTGCATGGGCATTATTGAATGTAAATGCAGTTTGGGCCAGGTTCCTGTCAGGGCTAACACCGGCTATTGAGTCTGATTATGCACTGCCATGCAAAGTAACACCAAGGCAAGTTCAGCTTAACTTTACTTCCCAATTGCATTTTAATGCAAGTTCAATAAACTGATGGCAAAGAGGGATGGCCTTGTGAAAGCACTAAACAGAAAGGAACACTTAAAAAAAAAACAAAACAACCTGTATGATATCTAAGGAAACTGCAGTCCAGCAAAATTGGGCTATAAGAAGGCTTAAAACTGAAGTGAGCAAAATAATGTTGCTTTAACGGCAGCTGCTGAGGCCCAGGAAAATCTCCATTCCAGCTAGGGAGGTGATGGCCATTTCAGTTTGAGTATTATATAAAAAAAAAAAAAGTCATTTACCCGAGCATGGATCAATAACTGACAGTGTCTGTGACAGAGAAATCCCATAGCCTAAATGAAACAGGAAGACTGCAGTTGGCCTCCAAGTAATGGCCAGGCTGTAACATGTTGCTTTGAGGGGACTTGGTAACCTAAGTCTTTACACCAAACAGGTGTGGAGAAGGGCAGGAATAAGGACTTTTGTTTAAGGCTGTTTCTGGCAGGTTATGAAGCAGCTCTTCTATTTTGACTGATTTAAGCAGTCTCTGCCAAACTTCAGGATTCTTATCTGGACCACAGAGAGCAGCAATCATTAGCCTACAAGACAGTAGGAATAGTCAGTTATATCTCCCCAGAAATTTGGAGCCCCTGTTTATGCTTGTAGTTGTGATGATGGTCTGCTTTGAAGTTTTCTGTAATGTCAGGATGTCATTGACATACTGCCAATGCACGTGCTATGTTTACAAAGTTCAGAGGTATTGAAAGATGGATTTAAAATAACCTTCCAGGGGAAGTTTGCACAGGAGAAGCAAATTGAAGACAGCAGGACCTTGTTACTCTCTAGCCTTGGGCAGAAGGGCAGCACATTTTTCAATATACAATTAGACATAGCTGCTGAAGATGATAAATGGAATTGACACCATTTAGTTTTGGCCTTTGAGTCTTGTGATATAAACTGGATTCTCAGTAGCTGCATCTAAATCTGTTTACAGTGAACTTTTGGTGCTGGGGCAAGGATGAGGCTGGGCTGACTTCCATCTAAAAACTAAGGCAGGGTATAGAACAGGATTTTTCAGTGGGACTTGTGTTCTTAAGTAACATAGGAGTTTGGTAGATCCATTCCTTATGTTTCAGACCAGCTTTTGCCCCAAAACATGATATCTGAATGATTTTCCTTCTTTCATAAACAGACATTTGCAATGGAAAAACCAGCTGATCCAAGAGTGTCATGGGTTTGATTTCTAGGGACATGGGAGCCACCTGCTTTTTTATGACCATAGTCACACCCTTAGACCAGTTAAAATGGCCCTGCCTCTCTTTAGACTAGGCTGCAAGAATATTTTGGTGTCCTCTACCTCGCAAGAGGTGCCACAATCGATTCAGAGGCAGAGGTCACACAAAGACTCTTGGCTAAAATGAGTAGCTCAGAAACAGAAGTCAGACACCTGGTGTCATTGGTTAAGAGGCTGGATTTCCCTTGGCAGGGTCCTTTGTATGAAGACAGACAAATCTGTAAGTTGAATGCAAGAAAAGCTTTACTAAAATAGTGAGTCAAGCGCTATACAGAAATGCATGACAAAACTGAAAGCACATCATTTAAAAAGTACTTCACTTCCCAAAATGTTTACAGTGAAAACCATTTATATTAGTTTAATCACAAGGAAGGTACTACCATCTCCTCAAGCAAAGTTGCACAGAAATGGTACTTCCTGTGGCAGTACTTCATAGGAATGATACAGGTGAAAAACCCTGCCCCCTGCATGTGCACACACACAATATAAGTAAATCTAGACTCAGACTTTAGTTTGTGTTGGCTAACAGCAGCTTTCCTGAGAAGTTCTTAAGGGAGGTTTTTGGCTCTTGCCTTTTAACAAGTTTGTTCCTCCCCTAGCTGCCAGAGCTTGCCTGCTTCTGCTGCTGTAAGCCACTCTCCTGGCAGAATGACACCATGCTTCAGTTTTAAAAATTACAGCTTACTGCTTGAAATGAATGCCCTTTCCTATTTCTTGGCACTGAGATGGCAGATGCTGCATGCACTCTGGCCCACCTGCATTCATTTCTTTTGTCCAGGGAAACACAAAGCTCCCAGCATTCAGCAGTCTGACATCCTGCAACAGGAGTTTGGGCCAACAACTCCCTGAGAATTCAGGCTGGTCACAGTTGATATCTGTTTGAGATATGCAAGAAGCTTCACCATCTGTTGTAGCAGAGAATTTACTTAAACAGCCACCTCCAGTCAGACCAGGGAACTGTTTTATATGACTGGCACAAGTTTGATGCAACGATTTTTGGCTGAAGAGGAAGTTTGATGACCCTCAGGATTTCAGGACCTGGGTGTGAGCAGGCAGCATACAGTAGAACAGAGGCATCTTGTAGAGCATTCTAGGAGGTTGACTCTAGGTAGGAGGACTCTTCACTAGTAACAGACATAAAGACTGTGTTTCTTTTCCATGCCACTCAAGAAGAGGCATGGAAAAGAAACCCTTAGATCCTAGCCTTGGTAGTTACTGGTTTTCCAACTTCAGTTTGTCCCCATTATAAGCACACAAGCTCTGCATATTGAAGACCAAAAGGCAGCCAAGATGTGTACACTTAATATCCCCACTTAGCCTTTCCAATTTCATTAACAACTGGAAGGCTTTGACAGGGGGCTCTTCATATATGCTGGCCCTCTTGCTAACACAAGGTACATGCACACAAGTTACTACAATTAGGATGACCTTAAATGTATCAACTACCCTGCAGGTAGCTCAGTCCTCAGCAAAAGTGAGGTACCCTACCCCCCCACTTTCCAAAGGAAGAGAACATGCATAAGTTCAGCTCCTGGCTTACACTGCAGCCAGGGTATTTGTGGACACATACCCAGTCTCACATTTCTCATTCAAATACAGTTCTTTGTTGTGGCTTCTCCTTTAGCTGGCAAATGAGAGAGTACCCTGCTCTAAGTTAAAAAGCTTCACTTGGTGGAAAGAAAAGACAAATACTTTGAGGAGTATTAGCGCCCATCAGTTGTTATAATTTTGCTTAATAGAATCAGCCACATATTGGAGTCAAATGCCAACAGCACTTTACTATGGGCATTTTCACTGCTTATTAGCATCTTTCTTTACAGAATCAGCATTTTAACCACACTCTATGCATACAAGCTCCTCTTCTTGTTAGCTATTAGAATCAATATGCAATGTACAGAGTAGTCCTAACACTGAACAGATGAAACTGCAAGTTCTTGTTTTGTTTTTGGGGGTAGTTTTCTTTACTTTGCTGCTGCTTATTAAAAGTGCTTTGTCTGATGGGACTAATAAGCAACAGACACCAATTCCTCTGCTCAGGCAATTCTATTGTTGTGGTAAATGCTTAGTACACAAGCTGATAATTAACATTTTCTAATTCTAAATCACACAATGTTATATTTTTATTACTCAGTGATAGTAGTATCTGTGTTCAAAAATAGAGATGGCATCATTGCCATTCACTAGTTTAATCTTGCTGTTTATCCTACTAATGTGTCCTTACTTGATGAATATAATTTGGCCCAGTGAAAGATGTAGTTAGTGTGACTTGTGAAATAAGGGTTTGCATGCAGGTGCTGTATTCATAGTGTACTTGTTAACAAGTGAGTTGGCTACTGCTGCAAAGAAAATGAATAGTTTCCCTCCCACTTACAGTAAAATTTAAGTTCTTAACGTCCTTCCCAGTAGACCACATGTTGGACCAAAAGAAGTTAACACCACTATTTTAGAATGGATTGCTTTAAATGCATGTATCTGAACCTCTGCCAGATAGGGAAGGATTAACACAGAGACCTAATGGCGTGATTTCCAACGGCGCTGTCTCTACTTTGAGAGTAGTGCTCACTTCCAGCTAAGCAGCATGCTCCAAGAGTGTGATGCCATTAACATTAGTACTGTACATCGTATCACTGTAACTAGAATGGATTATGCTATCTTTGTCATACTCTCAAGTCTGTTCCCAGTAGTCATTTGAACAAGTTTTAGTCCATGATTGGAAAACTGCCGGTGGTACATAATTACTCAGTCATTATTCATAATTACAATGTGTGAAACAGCTAAGCACAGCCATCACATGGCTTTCACAGTCTAACATAGGATATGTCCTTTATTTCTCTTACAGCCCCTTACAGTACACTTAATTTTAAAAAAAAAACCCAAAACTGACCATAACTTAAGCAAATCATTCATAAAATAATAAGCATGATCAAATGATGAAAAAGTGCTGCAAATGTAAGTGTTGGCAAAGGAAACAGGTCTACAGACAGAAAGGCTTGGCATCTCCACAACTGCAGCAGAGGGCAGGATGAGATTATAAAGTGTCAACAACAGATAAAGTTCAATCACTGGAGGAGTCTCTGCAGAGACAGGCTAAAAGCCAAGGCAAATGGCAATGCTTTGTTTTTTAAAGCTAGTAAAGGAAGTGTGGCCCTAGTCAGCTTTTCCATGTCACAGAGGGGAAGATTAAGAGAACCAAAAATGTTATGTGACTCAGACACAAGTTGAGCATCTTTATAGGGCAGAGAAGCAGTCTATAAAAAGGAGTCTTTGGATCCCGTTTGAAATGGGCTCCCCCCAGCAGGGCAGCAATCACATCACAAAGAGCACTGTGGAGAGGTTACATGTTGCCATCTTGACTGTAATCAGCTCTGCAAGTCCAAAGCTACTCAGCATTTGATCTTTACAAGCAAAGACATTACTGAAGTGTACCAAACTTCCCTTTTTTTTTAAACAAGGTTTGAACGGTGGTTTGTTTTGATCGAACATAGGAAACACAGGGAAGCTCACACCTGAATAGTTAAGCTTCTTCCCCATGGGATTCAAATATGCATAAGTGAACAAATCAACAACACTCCCCAGCATCTCTCTCTCTCTCTCTCTCTCTCTCTCACACACACACACACACACACACACACACACACACACACACACACACACACACACACACAC